TGCTGTATTTGATATATTAAATGATAAAGATGCTCTTATAAAATATTTTGCAAAGAAAAAACATTTACTTTTCCATTTGTAGGTTATCATATCGTTTTCAGAGTTCAGACAAGGTTGAATAAAGGTGGTTTTGAGAACCCATAACTTTCTATATTGAGGATAAAACAAATGTGATGCAGATTTATGTTGTTTTGAAGTGTAAGGCTATAATTGAAGAACGAGATAAATAATCATATTTTGTAAACATAAATATACAATTACGCGAAGTAATTTAATATACGCGGTGTTGTAGGCCAAGGTTTTCTTTGACAGTTGTTATTAATCTACTTAAATCTCATAAGATTGCAGACTGCAGTTTTGGGAAATTAATGGATAGATCCAATCATCCAACGGACAATAAGCCATATTACGTGCATTGATAGTCCGGACGTAGGTGTGGCATATAATTAATTACTTTTCATTTCAGCACAAAATGGAAATGGTTCAGTTTGACCTAACTGGTCAGCAAACACCTTTTAAAGTCTCTAGAGTTAGAGATTTTCTTAAAGAAAATATTATTATTACTGTTTTTGTGCAGATTTTAATGGAGCACCCATTGACGCGGCTAGAGTAGTGGTTTGGCTGAGACTAATTATGAATTGGGGTTTGGAAAAAAACGTAAGAATATCGTTTAAGCCAATTCATAGATGTATATATAAACGTAAGAATATACTCCACTAGTTTATATATATATATATATATATATATCATTGGCCTTTCCCCCTCGTCTGCATGGGAAATGAGCCAATATCGGACCCAATACCGGACCAGAATAACGGCTACATGTAGTAATATATTTGGGAATGTATTCGTCTCCTTATAGTTGGCTTCCTTTTAAAAGTTGAAACATACCAACTACTTCCATATATTAAGCTATGAGAATATAAATAAACTGCATAAATGTAATGTTTTATATTACAATTTGGAAATATGTCAAAGTTTGATTCTAAAGTTTATGATTTCGTTACTGTGTAACCTCTATAAATTAATAATGTTGGGACTACACCAAAATTATCTTTTTTTATTAATTTAGAAAGATATTAATTTATAGATATACTAATTGAACCAAAAACTCAATTTAAGACTATAAAATTATATTAATTTATAAAGATATTTAGTGTATATTAATTTATCGAGTATTAATTTATAGAGGTTCTACTGTATGTGATATGGATTTCTGTATTATAGTAATAAAAAAATAAAAAAATAATCGTGAATTATATTAAGACTAGAGTCCAACAAAGTATCCAATTAAAAAATTTCAATTGTGAGATGATTCTATTAACATTATCTTATGTTCTGAAACACAAATCTACTACTCTTTCCGTTTCATTTTAGTTGTCGTTGTAGAGTAAAATTTTTGTTTCAAAACAAATGTCGTTTTATAATTTTAATACAAAATTTATTCACTTTATCTATTATTATATTTTTCTATTGGTTGAAATGTGTTTAGGTATATAAATAATTGTGTTTTTTCTGAAAAATATGAAAAATTAAATGTTTTATTAATTTGTATGCAAAAACCCAAAAGGAAAAATAAATTGAAACGGAGGGAGTATTTAATAAGCGTAATTAGTCAATTCCCATCATGTTTTAATACAAAAACCTATTTTTATTATCCTATAATATTTTGGACTTTTTTGTCACTAGAAAATGTCCATAATTTTCAAACTTATACATGCATGCATGGTCATTGAGTTGATAGCAACTTGCTTCTTTTGTGACCCGTAAATATCTAAAACATTTGATTACAGGTTGGTTTGTTTGGGTATCGAATTTTTTGGTTTTGAAATTAAGACCCATTCGGATATTACAAAATTTTGGGTCGGGTTTGAGTCGGATCCTTCCAGGTGTGGATGTATTTGGTTCTGATGTTTAGGAATCTGAAAATAACCAAATAACCAATATATCTGAAATAGGTTCAGATATTTGTACCCAACATAACCATATCATCCGATTCGATTCAGATATTTTATATCTAAACTACTAGAAAAAAACCAAAGTACTCATTTAACATGGTTTTGTTTGATTATTTCTTTCCAAATGATCTTATTTTATTGGAAAATACACAAAAGTATTGAAAATAACTAATATATTTCATTTATAATTGAAATTCAAATTATTCAACTAACTATAAGTATAACTATAACTAATAATTTCAACTAACTATAAGTATAAGTATAACTAATAATTTTACATACATATTTACATTTTAAATATCTTTGGATATTCATTCGGTTCTCAATTCAGAATTGAGTTCAGTACCGGTTCTTCGGATATAGTAACTGAGGACCTATTCAATTATTTACCCCAGATCCGATTGAATTTGTGACCCTGATTTTTGGATCAGTTTTGGTTCGGTTCTTCCGGTCCGGATATTTTTCCTAGTCCTAGTTCGATACATTAGAGAGTATTATTAATTGAGTTTAGTGAAACAATATTTCATAGCGCACGAAGTTAGAAAGAGAAGAATTTGTAACCACTTTTCCATTTCATTTGTTTCATTAGAGTTTTTTTTTTTTTTTTTTTTTTTTAACTTCATTACAGTTAATCTTT